ATGTTTTTAGGTATTTGCTTTGTTGAAAAACAAATTTTCTTCTGTGAAGGGCTCTGTTGTGACACAAATCCTCTGGCTTAAAAATTCCCCAAAGGAAAAAATGCATGCAACCCTCCCACCCCCCCAACAGACTGAGCACTTGGTGGTTCAGCTGAGGCAGGTACCACAGGCCCAGCTCTCCTCTTACTCATGTGTAATGGCGAGGATATTACCAGGAAAGCCAACAAGAGTGTCACAAGCCCTGCATGAAGGGTTGGTGGGACACAGCAGAAGGTACATGCCTGCTCCACAGTGGTCTTGTGCCCTCTGGCTTTGTGGGTGAACCACGTGCTAGTCCAGCCCCACAGAGTAATTCAGAGTATTACAAAACGTGAGCTGGAGAACCACTGGCCCAGAATAGAAGAGAGACAATAACAGGGTGTAGCAAGAATGAACATTTCAGCTGGAGCTTTCCTTTTCTCAGCAGAGTGAGAACTGCTCATACGGGCTTCTTTCTGCTCCCCCAAAAATTCTCCAAGAGTGCCAGGTCCACCCTCTCATCACTAACACATAAGCTTAGGGCTATTTCATCTTTAATGAGTAATAGGGTTACATCTTAGCACACTATTCACAACTCACATGCATTTGTAGTTGTGTATACATTTTTACCTCATACCTGCTAGTCCTTTATCACATTATATTGATTGAGCAATATCTTTACTCTTCAGCGCTGGTTTAACCAACGACATTTTTAACCATGAGCTTTACACAAAGGCCTTATTCTGCCTTAATGGCAAAACATTCTCTTCTGATTGCAGATTTTTCATAACTACCTATGCTTATACTGCTACACTACAGACCTATCCTCTGGATCCAACATCCCCTTCACACCTAAAGTGTTCAGAATTACTATATTAACCCATCTGCTGTTGTAAGTGATGTTCTCTTTATAACACGACATACTACTAAACACAATGGAAACTAAGTACAGTTGGAAAAGTTAAGCATTCTGCTACATCAAAAGACAAAATTTAATGGAATGATATCTGCACAATGAATTTGGATTATCTTCTTGCAGCGTGCTACTAGTCTATAATAAGAGCCTGTTGGGAAGAAAAAAAAAACCAAAAACAAACAGCCCAGAAAATTCTCAAATTCTCTGTGTTCCTTTTCAGTCATGTGTTCAAACTAAGATTATTTTTTTGATCAACAGTAAGGTATCTGTACATATGAATTGACCATATGCATAATTCATACTCTGAATCTCTCCACATGAGAAAGATGCAGCGATTTAACCAAAGAAGGGGTTTTTTTAATTGACTTTATGGACAAAGTGTGATAGATGAACTCGACCCCTTAACCAAACTAGCAGTAGTTTGGTATAGGCTCCAAAGGAGGTAAAGGCCTGAGCTGTAGCCAGGCCAAGAACTCCTCTAGTTTCAATCTGTTCTCTAAAAACTCACGAAGGAGTAGAGAGACACAGTGAGCATCGACGCGTATGAGCTTGGAACACGGATCATGCGATTAACACATGAAGAGCAGGTGGCTTTTCCCAAGACTCATTTATCAAGGAACAAAGAAAGTTGTGGGTACAAGGAGTCTCATGCATACCTTTCCCATTGCATGTAATTTGACTATGAGCCAACCACTTTACTCCATAAATATGACAGCCTAAGTGAGCCTTCTTTGAGCTCTCCCTGCTAGGCAGCATGGCTGCATGGCAGTGATCTCCCCTTGAGCTGGGACGCCCCTCAAGGTTGCTCCTCAAGGCAGAGAGATCTTTTACCAATGGCAGATCTCTGGTAAGTGACTGATAGCATGCTGAATTAATACTAATGAAACATTACTAATCCATGTGCTATTAAATATTAGTTACTATAAACTTTGTATAGATAATTCCATTAGACATAAACATTGTCCAAGTCTGAGACTAAGATTGGACCTAGCCGCACTTAAGTTCCATCAGGAGTTTAGAAAGCAAGGGGGTCCACTCTGAACCTTGTGACTCAATGGGAGTGTGTTGGTTTTGGCTGGGATAGAGTTAATTTTCTTCATAGTAGCTAGTATGGAGCTATGTTTTGGATTTGTGCTGGAAACAGCATTGATAACACAGGGATGTTTTCGTTATTGCTGAGCTGTGCTTACACAGAGTCAAGGCCTTCTCTGATTCTCACACCACCCCACCACCGAATCGGCTGGGGGTCCACAAGAAGTTGGGAGGGGACACAGCTGGGACAGCTGACCCCAACTGACCAAAAGGATATTCCACACCGTATGACGTCATGCTCAGCATATAAAGCTGGGGGAAGAAGTAGGAAGCAGGGAACGTTCAGAGTGATGGCGTTTGTCTTCCCAAGTAACCGTTAGGCGTTCTCCTGCTTTCCTGGAGATGGCTGAACACCTGCCTGCTGATGGGAAGTAGTCAATGAATTCCTTGTTTTGCTTTGCTTGCGTGCACGGCTTTTGCTTTGCCTGTTAAACTGTCTTTATCTCAACCCACGAGTTTTCTCACTTCGACTCTTTCAATTCTCTCCCCCATCCCACTGTGGGGGAGTGAGCGAGCAGCTCTGTGGGGCTTAGTTGCCGGCTGGGGTTAAACCACAACAGGGACAATCTTCCTTACTCTTTGTATTTCTTCCATTAGACATAAACTGTTGTCCAAGTCTGAGACTAAGATTGGACCTGGCCGCACCTAAGCTCCACCAGGAGTTTAGAAAGCAACGGGGTGCACTCAGAACTTCGTGACTCAATGGGAGGGTCTTCTTTACCCTTTGCGTCTCCGGTCTCTGTGTGAATCATTCTAACTTGATTCTAACCCAATTGTCCTTTGTATGTTTTTTCCATGCAGTAATTAATAAAGTTAACTTGCCATCAAACTTAATGAACCTTGGTAAACCACTGTTAAACTTTGTTAAATTCAAATTATTATTCTACCTCAATAAAACACATTGCTGCTTCTCTCTTCTGAGTGAGGTGTATTCTACATTTTACGACACGAAGTAATATACATGGTCATTTGCATTCCTTTAATTTATCAAATAAACATACTTCAGCTGAGAGAAATAAATCACATGACATCATCTCTGGAAAATACTTGATCAAAATGGCTTTTGAAAAACCCAAGTGAAATGGGTGCAACCTCTGTTTGTAGATTAGTACCTTTGCATTAGACTCCGTTCCCTGAAGACTTTACTGTGTACGCAGCTTAGCTGGTTTTCATGAGGAAGGTGGTTGTACATTTTAAAAATTAGCAACACTTCTCTATTTATTTTTTAATCTATAGATTTTAAAGTGCTTTAAAAAAGATAAGTAGTTATCACATGGTTAAAATTCATAGAAACATTCAAATGAGCCAATAACACCTGGTACTCTTCAAAATATTAATCAAGGAAAAACTCAGGGATAGGGAAGTGAAGTAGGATTACCCAAAGCAGCATGGTAGGCTGACAGCAGGGCCAGGAATTGAAATCAAATATACCAATTCCCAATCCACTGCACATGTTTACTAGATGCTATTTCTACCCCACCATGGTTAACTGAAAGCACTGACAAAAGACTTAAAACTAATAAAAGTAAAACAAATAAACAAACAACAAACCTCCCTAATTCCAATTCAAGAGGCTGCTCGGAAAGCCTTTGCATGAGTGAGGACATATCCCTTTCTACTCCAGAAATTTAACATATAAGAATCCACTTTATCTTCAAAAAGAATAACTGCCAGATTCGATTTCACTTATAGTCTTGAAAATGCAGAATTCCTCTACTAAACTGCGTGGCATTAAACCACATACACCCAGACACAAAGATCTGCATTTGTTATGCGGAGAGGTTTCTCATGAGTATACACTATACTTACAGTATGGGCAACAGCACATGGAGCACAGAAAGAATTGCCAAAACTTAGCATGTTTCCAAAACTACTAGAGAAAGAAAGAAAGAATTTGGCGTGATTGGGAAAGCATCCTCAAAGGGGGGGGGGAGGGGGGAAGTCGCTGTTTTAAGCTGCAGAAAGTGTACTGAAGCTGAGTTATATTTTATTTCATTAAAATATATTTTAAAAACATACTGTGTAAAAGAATTAGGATTCTCAATAATTTATTATTTACATTAGCAAATTCTGTTTGACTGTTATTCTATAGGTGGAAATGCAAAGTCTGCAGAAGGGAGTTGTATCAACTTCTTCAGGACCAAACAAGCCTCTTTACCAAGAAAGAAGTCCAAAATGCATTCCTTCCCGTTTCGATCCCTTCAAACTCATGTTTGCAAACAGATCGCAAAAAGCTCAATGAAAGGTCATGTTGGCGAGCGTTGAGCACTCACAGTGAGAGCCGGGATTTCGGAGCGCTCTGCAACAGAGAGACCCTGAGGAGATTTTAACGTTGCACTACTCAGTAGTCAAGAGGCTGCAGGGTCCAATCCCACTCTTGCTCCCACTGTCCTACCTCCACTGAAATCCACAGATGACAACAAGGCCTGCACCCGGCCCTGCAGGTGGATCCTGGAAAGCTAGACAGACTCCTTGAGCCAGGCTGGCAGTGGAGAGAGTGTTTTTCCTGCCACTGTAGACACACTGTAGCTTACCATTCTTTTTCAGTCCAAACACAATATAAATCTCATTGTCTTCCTCCCCATGCTCTGGGGAGAAATATGCATAGGGAATTATCTCTCTGATGTAAACAACTGTAAGCACCATTCACATTTGCTGGTCCACATGAAAAAATATCATATCCAAGTGCCTGCCATAGCCTTGACCCTTCTTAGCAGGGCAGCTCAGCTTTCCCATCAGCTTTCCAGATCTCTGAAATCATATGGGTACCCAAACACCATGCACAGTCCATTGCAATGCCAGCTGCTGTCTGCTTTACCATTCCAGGAAAGAGTAGTCGCCTCTTCAGTGATTATATAAAAACCCATGATTAAAAGAAGTAAAGTGGTCAGGTCATGCGTTCTGTTTCCTGGAGGCACTCAATGGTATTTCTGACATCTCATGTAAGGCACCAGTCATCCGGTAGCTGAGCAAAAAGTGACCCACAAGACCTCCACTAAGCAACCGCAGAGGGAACTGACAAAATTCAGCTGCTTTGCTCGCCTTCTTGCTTACATAGCATAAAAAGTGTGGTCACGCCATCTGGGGAAGTTTCTGGTGGTATCCTAAAAGAGGAAGCCTCAACTTGCACTGCAAGCCAAGGAGCATGGGTGACAGTGTACTACAGCGCAAGTTTCCGATGGCTGCGTCAGAGTGGCAATTCCCACAGACATAGTAGAGATTTCCTTGAGCCCCAAGAGGACTCTGCTGCCTTGCTTTCACGGAAAACGAGTTTTTTGTTAACTGAAGCAGTTACCTCCTTACAAGACGTCTCCATAACACACAACGGAGGGCCAGACTACAAAACCAGCTTTGTGGCGTACTTGCTGCAACTTCTCTGCTGTTGGTCTTGCCCGCACAGCCTTATTCACAGAGATGCAATGCCAGAGATAGCAGAGCCTATGGACGAAGAGGTCGGCTGGATGCTGGCTGACTGCATCACTGAGCAGCCTCAGTCCAGAATATCAGTCTCAAATGGGACCAGGTGGTAGTATGTCAAATTGGTGACATAAGCTGTTGGATCATCACTGTCTTCTAGCTCTGAGGTAAAGTCACTAACGCTTTCAAACCTAAGGAGAAATAAGTTAAAAAAAACAGCAAAAGGCATTAAGTCATCAATGTTCATTTAGAAAATCCAAGTCAAAAGAATTGGAAGAAAATCACTGAGGGAGAGGGAGAAGGCTAGGATATCTGAAGACTGACCCCTGGAAATTTTGAGAAACAACATTTGTGAGGGGACTACTTGGAAAAAGGCAAGAATGCTTCTGCTGGTACTGCAAGTTAAAGTTCTGAGTAAATGTTATACGTGGACTTGCTTCACACCACAGCAGTGTTGCGGTAGAAGTATTTCTAACACTGTTTGCAGCTTCAGCTTTGTGAAGCTCGGTTTGCAAGACAAAGAGCTAGAGTTCCAACTCTTTTTCCAAAGCTTCAGTATCTCATTCCCTCTCTTTGCAGCCTGAAATTCGAATTCATACTAGAAGTTGTCAAGGAAGCTCCGTGCAGATCAACTATGAATCATGAAGCTATAGTTTCTCTGACATCAGCCTATGTATCACTATGCTAGCATAACCTACTGGAGACACCAGGAATGTCATCTACTGTCACTTTCATAAAGCAAGATTGAACACTTCCTTGAGAGAGTTGAGAAGTAAATGGAGACAATTGCTCTCCATGTCCTTATCTCCATGTCCTTAAATAAACAGAAAGCCTGTTTCTTTATAACCTATGGAAATGAATGGGCTGAAGATTTTGCTTGCAGTAAAATAGGATGGCTATTCCCTTTTAAAACTGTGCTAAAACACAGCTGCGCAGCATACTAGGAGAGCAAGTTCTCATCTCTTTAGATAGCAGTCTTCAGCAAAAGGGACTTTTATGACTCTTCACAGCACTTGTCATTATAATACCTGAACTTCATATCTCATGACACCTGGTTACCACATTGCATCTAAGATGAGCTGGATCAAAAACATTATTAATTTGTTTTCAGGCCCCAGGGCTCCCCTCCTGCTAACAAATGAATGATTTCCTGGGACATAGCCTTTCTTGTCAGGCAATTCTGGGTACCTCCACAATGAGATTTTTATGAGTCTAGAAGAGCTTTCACTGTGGTGTGGGAAAATCTTCACAGAACGTACTCAGAGCTGATCCCATTCACACCTCCTCCTCCCCACACCCATGTGTATATGAATAAACCACAGGGCAATGAGAACCATAGTGCACGCAAGCAAATCATCTTGTTACCCCTGACTTTCAAAGCTACTAGTGAGAAAGGAAGCAAGCAGCAAGTGAGCCCTGGAAGAGTGAATCATGCAGCTGAGGTCCACATCCTTCCATTTTGTTCTCACAGCATGTGGCAGCAACACAAAATGCCTCAGTTCCCACACAAAAATGGAAAGGAAACTGCCTTTGTTCCCCGTCTGAACTTGGAGTCTCACCCTTACACTTCACAGGTGCCTTCTCTGGGTTTGGCTTTTGTATGAGGCCAAACATCTAACACAAATAGGAAACAATGACTACAGCTTCCTTCCTCCAGAGCCTCGCTGTCCTCCCCATGTTTTGACAAACAGAGAACATCCGAATATAAAGAGATTCCCAAATTTAGTTTCACTCGTTTTGGTATTTTCCTTCCCACTTCTTAACTCCTGTGTTATAATCTGAACTTTTGCAAGGATTACCCATTGTTTCATGTCTACTCTCAACCAGAAGGCATCTTGTTAAAACCTGCACTTTCCTCAGTTACACACGTTCCCATTCCAAGGAAGCTTGAATTTCTGCAGTAAGAAGACATTTTACTTCTTTCCAGATAGCCTAGCAGTTAAAGGCAGTCACTGCAGGCCAAGGATTACATCTCATCTAAGTTCAAGCAAGGGACTTGAAGAACTGTCAAGTTTCTTTTTCTACCACTCTGTCTTTAATATTTCGAAAGAACTTGCATTCATTCTGACAGAGAGAAAAAAAATGAGAAAAAAAATGAAATAGAAACTGAAAAATTGCACAAGATGGAAAAAGAAATCCTAACCTAGCTCTGATTATAGGATGTGTCTCTAACACCTTTTCAGGCTGGCATACTGCAGCTCTCTGACTAGCAGATAAACAGATGAAGCTTTAAAATAATTTGGTTTAAAACTGCATCTCACCTACACATGAACTAGTTAGACTCCTTTAGTTAAGTGAGGCAACTGCAGACATCCCTCTAACCTCACCCTAGAGAGCCCTAAGAGTCAGGTACTTCAGAGGACCCGAAGAAGAGTGGTAGGGTAAACAAACAGATAAATCTCTCTCTCCCATCTCTCCCCAAAACTTTCTTTAGAAGCATCACGGGTTATTGGATAGCATGCTCTTTACACCCTGCAATGCATGGACACAGCTCTGTCTTTTCCGCACTCCTTACTGGTCCTTCTCACCTCTTTTTTAACTATGAGGACCACAACGTTTTTTGAGCAGAAAGTCATGGATTTTCTCCTGCAGTGCTGTTGCTATACACTTTACTTACAATGAAACAGAAATGAATCTGAACTTTGAATGTTTATTACCCTCATTCCTCTACTCCCTCCAGGCTGTTTGCTTGCCTGCATGTGTGGGAACATGTGCAGAAGGGAGTTGACTTGGTATCTTGCAAACACTTCACAGATCACGTTGTGCTGTCTTATGGACTGCTACTGATCCAGAAACAACAGATTATGAAATACCAGTGGGGCAGACAGAATGAAGAAAGCAGAAGAGGAGTCAAGAAGGCTATTCAGATTCTGCTCTCTTTCTCTTGTCAATTGTATAAAACTAGATGATTACAACTGGAAGGCCCCACAGATTTTGTGGTTCTTCAGCCTCACTAATGTGTGGTACAGCAGCATATGAGGTATAAAGCAGTGGCACTCACATGCTGTGGTTACGCAGAAAGCTTTCCTTGCCACCAAAAAGGAAGTGTGGGCACAGAAGTCTGCAAAGCATTGCTCTAGAGTGCTCATATGAAACCAAACCCAATAAACCAGGACTGTTTACTACAGCTAGCAGCTATATAGGACACCCAACAGTCAAAATGCTTTTGTGCTATTACCAACAGGTCTTCTTCCCAAAATAAACTGCAAACTACTATGGACATGCAGATTCCTAAATGCCCAAACTGCTGCCCTTGCTATTTTTTCCCCAAAGTACCTTGACAGACACACCATCCTTCACAAGGGCCAACTTCTTGTGCTGTAAGACAACCTTCTTTATCATTTTAACCTCTGCTAATGCATTAGAGTTGCTGCTCACACTCGCCAGGAAGAAGAGAGAAACAAGGTACATAGAAGCTAATGTCTTGGACGGGCATACTCTTTGCTAGGTAAAAAACTGTCTGGACAGCCGAGCCCAGAGAGTTGTGGTGAACGGAGTTAAATCCAGTTGGTGGCCGGTCATGAGCGGTGTTCCCCAGGGCTCAGTTTTGGGGCCGGTCCTGTTCAATATCCTTATCAACGATCTGGATGAGGGGATCGAGTGCTCCCTCAGTCAGTTTGCAGAGGACACCAAGTTGGGTGGCAGTGTTGATCTGCTCGAGGGTAGGAAGGCTCTGCAGAGGGACCTGGACAGGCTGGATCGATGGGCCAAGGCCAACTGTATGAGGTTTAACAAGGCCAAGTGCCGGGTCCTGCACTTGGGCCACAACAACCCCATGCAGCGCTACAGGCTTGGGGAAGAGTGGCTGGAAAGCTGCCCAGAGGAAAAGGACCTGGGGGTATTGAATGGCTGGCTGAATATGAGCTGGCAGTGTGCCCCGGGGGCCAAGAAGCCAAGAGCATCCTGGCTTCAGTACTAAATAGGTGTGGCCAGCAGGAGTAGGGAAGTGATCGTGGCCCTGTACTGGGCACTGGTGAGGCTGCACCTCGAATACTGTGTTCAGTTTTGGGCCCCTCACTACAAGAAGGACACTGAGGTGCTGGAGCATGTCCAGAGAAGGGCAACGAAGCTGGTGAAGGGCCTGGAGCACAAGTCTTACGAGGAGCGGCTGAGGGAACTGGGGCTGTTTAGCCTGGAGAAGAGGAGGCTGAGGGGAGACCTCATCGCGCTCTACAACTTCCTGAAAGGAGGTTGTAGCGACGTGGGGGTCGGTCTCTTCTCCCAAGTAACAAGCGATAGGACAAGAGGAAATGGCCTCAAGTTGCGCCAGGGGAGGTTTAGATTGGATATTAGGAAAAATTTCTTCACCGAAAGGGTTGCCAAGCACTGGAACAAGCTGCCTGGGGAAGTGGTTGAGTCACCCATCCCTGGAGGTATTTAAAAGACGTGCAGATGTGGCGCTTAGGGACATGGTTTAGTGGTGGACTTGGCAGTGTTAGGTTTACCTGATGTTAGGTTGGACTCGATGATCTTAAGGGTCTTTTCCAACCTAGATGATTCTATGATTCTATGATGCTTCTTGTTAACTCACAGGAGTAACCCCAGTGTAAACATGGTGTGAGACAACAGCCCAGCTCCTCTCATCACCTTATGTACACGCAGTACCTGAACAGATGTCCTCTCATCTAAGACTAAAAAGTACAGGGGAAGCATTTTCTTTTCCAGTCAAGAGTAGGATTTTGTTTTCCTGGAAAAATTCTGTATCTAATTTCAGCATCTCTGTGCTGCTTTTGCATTGCCACCCGTGAAAGTCTCTCCTGTGGAACTCAACATGCTTGCGACAATAGTAGCACCGTCCTGAAAATGCACATCTAGTACTGGAGTGAATTTGCCCAAAAGGTAGCATGTCCAATGCCACAGCCTCTGCTGCTGGCCTGAAAGACAGAATTGCAAACAGTCCTGGCAGGGGAAGGCATCTGTAACAAAGCCAAAGCATAAGTTTGAATGCATTTATTTACCACCTTTTCTTTCAAAAGGACTGCAGAGTACTCCAAGAACCACGCATAAAAGGACTATTTATGCCACATGGATGCTGAGCACACTGGGTTCACCACATTTTGCAACAGTATGGTGTACTGCCAGCTAAAATTAGACAGAAAATGAAGGAAGCAGAAAGCAACTACTTCAGAACAGAGTAAGCAACTCCAACTTGCAAAAATGCTATAGTTTCTTTTGCAACAAGTATGAGACTTTTCAGCTGACGGATCACTGGGTAGGTAGTGCTGCAGGCCACAACCAGTGCAGCGGGACCTCAGGGAATGAATGCTACCTGCTGAAGCTCCAAGTGCCTCTCTCCAAAAAATACAGGTTTGCTTTGCAAAATGTCTGATTCAAGTACATCAGCAACCAAACCCAAAAGTCATACAGAGTTTAATCTTGCTGAAAGGAAAAAGTTCCCATCTGAGGATATGTAAGTCTGCAAGGAATTAACTCTGACTTCAGAATAGAGAACACCAATCCCATAAATCCAATTTTACAGAGACCAAAAAGGAACTACATCGGATTTTGAAAGATTTTAAAGCTTCATTTCTGGGCTACTAACCTACATTTAAAGCAACAGTATAGAAAACTTCTGCTTTTAAAAAAAGTTCAATTTTTACAAAACAGCTGTGCTACACAAGTACCATTATCTCCTAGCTATTACCTCTCTGGTATAAAATACAGCTACAGGATGGGCAAATTTATGGCACCATGTAAAACAGACATTTGAAATTTATTAACTTGACTCTTGATTTAACTTCCTTCAGGGAAGTTAAAATACAAATGCACAAAGCCAGGCTGTTATCCTAAATTTATTTCTTCCACCACAGTTTCTGGGAAACCATGCCTACCATACAGTTTTTATCATATTAGTATTTTCTGGTCTTAATAGTCTCTGACTTCAATGGGGTGACAGTTACATGATGGCAGTTTCTGATCCCAGACCAGTAAGTTTTGCTTGGGCTGCAGCACATTCTTAAAATCAAAACTAGATTTTAATTTTTTTTTTTTTTTAAAAAAAAATTTTTTAAATAATCAAAATAAGGCAGGAGAAGGCTTTCTTTGGTAATTTGCTCCTATTATTTGTCACTTCAGTAGAAAGAGTGATGCACTATGAACTATGACAACTTTAATCTCCAGACGTTGGCGTTACAGAATTACCTCCAGTGTGTCGCTTCGGCCTCATTAATACAAGCTTATAAGCTTAAATGCTGTTAGCAAGGTCAAGGTTCAAAACACTAAGTGATAAGTTAATAAAAAGACTTCAAGAAATTACACCAGAGCCAGAGATACACTCCAGCCCCTGATAAAATCTTGTCAAGCTCTAAAGCCTTCCACAGACTGGCAATGACCACATTTCAAATGTGGCAAGACAGAGCACTGCATTCAAAGATAAAGCCTCCATAAGGCTTGTAGTATTCTGCTTCCATCATTTTGACTGCTCTAATGAAAAAGTAGGTCAATGTTTCTCATTAAAAATATTTAAATGCTTCACTACCTGAAGCTCATGGAAATATCAATCACCTGCTATGACAGAAATCTGTAGGAGCAGATTTCTATCAATGTCATCTGTCAATACAGTCACTGACTTAAGGCATACATGAAAGCCCTCCTGGTTACAGGTCTCTGACCCCAGAATACCTACATGCATTAGGAGGCAGAATTACAAATAAGACTAATCTAACTTCCCTCTCCCCTAATGAAATACACATGCTTCACCAAGTCCCAGCATGCCGCAGCACCGTAGCAGCTGCTGAGCTTCCTTCAATTACATTCAGAGGTGTGTCCCCTTCCTCTGAGGATGGTGTTTTGCTTCCCAAATAAAGCATACCCTTCATAGTAGGATATTCCATTTGTAAGGATGTTTGAGTTTCCAAATTTGGGCTCTCATCACAGTCGTGAGAGAAAGAAAAAACTCCTCGATTCTCACCTGGCAGAACCCTATGACAACCACAGCTTTTCATACACAGAGGACTGAGCTCCTTGGGATCAATCATTCTCACCGACAGCCATTTTATCCATGTTAATAGAAAGAGCTGTGAAGTGTTAGCAATCAGGCCCAGTGATCTTTAACCAGTCAGAATGACAGCTGTACCAGCCTTGCTCCTAGACAGAGGATAACATTTTGCTAGGGGGGTGGGAAAGCTACAGTTTATCTGAAGCTGACAGCATTACTTATGCACAAACCCTACTTACAAGTGTTCTGCTGAATCTACGTCCAGGTGCTTCTCTTTTCCATTGGGTATACTGTGGTCAATGACTATTGTTTCAGTGTTGGCTAAACAAAATCCATTTGATCGCATGATTTCTGTCGGGAGAAGAAAGAAAACAAGATGAAAAATAAAAAAAAAAAAGCTGGAAAACAACTGCATATCATAGGTAATTGACATGGTTATGAAGATGAGATGTGTGCGTGACATTGAAAATCTGCACATGAAAGCAGGAATTAAGAGTTGGTTTCATAGCTTCCTACATCTGCAAACTGCCAGTGCTTAAGTAATTTTATTCACATAATCAATTAATAACACAGAGCATTTGAAGCAAGGCCCAGTTTCAGACCTGTTATTGCCAGTAGCAAAATTCCCATCACCCTTAGCAGAATGGCAGCCCATCCATATATTGCAACCTACCACTACCAAAACATAATTGCATTTTCCCTAGACAGTCCCAGGCTTAAGCCAGTTAAGCAAAAATCAAAAAGACAGGAAAAAGGAAATAGAAAGTGACCTTCCAAATGAATTCAACCACCATCTTTAAGTCATGTAAAGCAATGCCATCTTCTACATTGCCTTCAACTCCATTTATTTGTTTCTCACTGTATAAGAAGCCTCTAATCCAGAATAGCTAAAATTTACACCTAATTCCACTGACTTACTACCATGGGGAGAGTTTATAATTAAAGAATAGTATTTGATGTGAATGAGAAGTTAATCCATGTCTGTGCTACATGGAAAGGCAAACTAGGCAAGTCACGAGGATTTCTTTCGGTCACACAATCTTAGACGAAGCTAGGGCCACCACAAAATGAACATACACCTCTACATAAATCAGCACTGACTTAAGTGGGATGGCTCATGATCTGCTTTAAGGTACAAGGACCCTGCCTTACAGCCTTTCATTATCAGCACAAACAAAAGGAAATTAGTCTGTAGCAGAAAATATGGTAGGCACACAACATACGTACAGGGAACCCCTAAGACCTTGCCTCAGACAGACCAATTTCAACTATATGGTTGAAGTAATGAGCAGGAGAGGAGAGGTGATTTTTTTAAGTGTACATTTACATGTTCCTACTTTAAGGTAAAGCCACTTCACTTCCCTATTTTTCTTGAGAAAGTCATCTTTGACTTTTAGTCTGTATTTTATTGCGACTCACTTTAGCAGAATACATTTGGGGGTGGTAAAAAACACTGAATCCCAGTAGAATCACACTTCAGTCATCACTCATCTTGAACCAACATCGTACTGCAGGGTAAGATTTACACCATAAATTCAAATCCAGCTTTCACCTAAGAGGGTGGCCCTTTCTCTCTTCCCCGCCACCTACCACTCTGAACAGGACCATGTAGGGGATAGTTTGTTTTTTCAGAGAATACAAAACATTTTTGCCCGCTTTTCTAAGTCCGCAAGCCATGTAGAAAGCTGCACTATGACTAACATGAATACCACAGTGTTTTCCTAGTGTCCTTGACATGACCTAAGTGTTACAGCATTTCATTGCTGTGTGAACTGCTTTAGACGTTAACATTTACTGCCATCTACTGATGCCACCAGACACTGAAACCATTTCTAGTGTGCAACATTCAGACGAGGCAAATACCAATTATTGTCAAATTTCTGCCTATGTTCTTAAATTCTTTGCAGCAATCACTTAAATGATAAAACTAATTGCCACAAGATGCTTTTGGATAGCTGCATAGGTAGGAAAATCTTCCTCCAATTAATTAGGTATGACTCGTCTCTACTAAAATTAATTTAGAATTAAAACAAAACATGTTATTATTCAGCTAACGTGGTTTCCCCAGCTCCTCTACGTACAGGCTGGCAGGAGGGTTCCCTTTGCTGCTAGCACTCTGAATTTAGGTTCATCTTGACCATCTTCTCTCTGTTGTACCCACCACATGATGTACTCAGTCATGCACACACAGAGTATGTGTGCCCTAAGGGGGTACACACCCTCACAAAAATTATATGAAACCCTTCCAAACAGCAAAAAGCCCCAAGCCAGAGCAACACTGCAGTTTCTAACCAATGCAATTCCAAATACATTCATTCTTGATATTTGCCTGTTTTGCAAAAAGAGCTGACAGAAGCCACCCTTTGAAACATTTTTACAGCATATAGTTTGGGGATCCTTCGTTTCATAATGGGCAGGTGCTAGGATCCACTTTGCAGCTCCGGTCTCACGGAGTGGCAACATATTCAGACAAAACCAGTGAATATGCTCTCAAGGATCAGTTCTGAGAACCTGTCCTGGCATTCAGGAGCAAAGCGAGTAACCACATTCAGCCTTCGGAAGATGACTGATGTCAGGAACATATACATGAGAAATTTTACCTGAGGTTTCCACATTGACTCAAGACATCACCCAAATCTCCCTAGCCACAGATGGGGTGTGAGATACACATGTTGGCTCCTGTCTCTCACTCCCAGGAGGCCAGATCTCCGTCACCCCACTTTGCAGTAGGGCGCCAGGGGCTCTTCTTTACAATCCCTGTGCTGCACTGCAGCCTGGCCTCAGGTGGCCCTACAAGAAGGCACCAGCTCAGATGGGCTGGCAAGACCACGCTTCTCACTGAGGCTCTGTATTACATGGCACACTTCTAAAGAATTATCGGTGGGCTTGTAAACCATTTACCATTTCATTAAAAAAATATTTATTTAACAGAGGACTAGTTCGCTTAGAACCAGAACTCAGGATCAATTACAAAAAGTCTACCCTATGTATAAGATCGATCCTTAAGACACACTGTTTACACCTTTAGCATGTTGACACGCTGACTGGCCATCAACCGATATACTGTTAGTACCTAAGAAAACTGATACCAGTTTCATGCTAAACACTTTTTGCACCTTGGAGGACTATGTAGTATTTCACTTTATTTCACTCTCTGAAATAAACTCTTCTGGTGACACAAAACCAGCAGTTGCCATTAGGCTCAAATGAAATGTTTCCATACAGAAATACAAACCCAGGCACACCAAAAGTTCACAAACCTTTTAACAACAGCCAGTCGAAGATGAAGAGGGGAAAGGCGCAAAGAATAGGCAAGGATAGAGTAATACTGCTCTCCATTTCACCCACCAGCAATCTGTGGTTTAGAAACTTCCTATGTCTCCACCTGTGACAGGTCTCAATGTACTTTTCCTCCACTTGCTTGTCTAATTCCTTTTTGAAGTCATTTATGCTTTCAGTTCCACCATATCCTATGACAAGAGTTCCACTCCTTAACTGTGCTCCATATGGAAACAAAACAATATTATAACCTTTTTCTTGTTTGTTTAAAGCCTGTTGTCTGTCAACATTATTGGACAACCTATAGTTCTTGTTTCATGAGAAGTACAGGGTAATTGACATCCTTCTATTCACAGCTTTGTAGACTTCCATCATATCCCCACTCTGCCATCTCTTCTCAAAGTTGAAGTGTCCTTCTTTATTTAACCTTTTTCTTAGAGAAACTGTTCAACGATTTGAATCCTTGTCCTTTACTTGTATGCTTTTAAATTTTATTATATCCCTTCTGAGATGGAGAGACCAGAATTGCGCACACTGTTTTCAAGACGAGGTGGTGCTCCTTTCTTCTGTTCTCCCCTCCTTTCCTAATAATATCTAATATTCTCACTGCTGGTTTTGCTCACTGCTTGGCACTGAGCTTGCATTTTTACAGAACTGTATCAATAGCCTCAAAATCTCCATCCTAAGTGCTAACAGCACTATCACATGTGACAATAGTGAGGATGGCATTTTCCTCACATCCACTTTTTTGCATTTATCAGCCTTCAATTTCATCTGCTGCTTTACTGCCTGAATGCATGTTGCATATTATGTCAAGGCTAATTTTGTGTTTTATGTTATAAAGCAGATTATGGAGAACTCTCTTTTGAATTGCTGGTGGAGAAAGAATGAGGGGAACAGCAAATAAAGTCATTTTCATTTCGTAATTCTTGTGTCAAACGTAGGAAGCTAACAACTCTTACCTGATATTTTAACTGGACTTTGAAAGCTTGGCTGAATCTTATGGACATTGTCATTTTTCAGAACCTGGTCCAAAGGAGATCTCTCAAAGAACGTGAGGACGACTTCAGATCTTGAATACTTAGAAAGAGAAAAAGAAACAGACATCTGTTTTTACCAGTAGTTTGCTTTGTCCCTCTTCTCCCTTTCCACCCATTCAGAGTACAACAGAAAGACTTATTGCAAGCAACAGCCTGAAGACTGTTCTGGCACTCAACACTTCTTCAATAAATTGCTGCTTCTTTTAGAGTTTGGCAAAGCCCATCACTTTCTAATCTGCATGAGAGTGCGTGTCACCATCAAGGAGGAGTCAAGCTGGGCTAGATGTGGAACTTGGCTTACTCACCTTCCAGGGCATGTTTATAATAGTCTTCAGAAGCTTTTCCACTTCATTAAGTCTGGCTTCTATATCATGGGCTTCTTTTATTGTTATGAGCCCTAGAAACAAAGTAAACAGATCGTGAGCATAGACAAAAGCACAACTTTCATGTGCACACAGACTTCAGTAGCCAGAAGCAGAGCAGCCGCTCAAGAAGATGTGGAACAACCTCAGATATCATGCCTCCCAGAAATGTCTTTTAACCCACACTGATGATAAAGTGTGTACCCCAAACTAGGTGGGTGTAGTTACAAGCAGAGTTGCAAGCCTGACACAAATTCAGCTGTTTATAATCATATTTAGGAGTTGCAAGACGAGCAGCAGTAGAACCACCTACTCCCTCACCCACAGTTTCACTACACAGCATTCCCAGCAGTGATAATCAAACAGCCTGTTTTCTGCTTCCAAGAACCATGATTCATCCTTTTTTCTGTCAATAAAAAGCAAAAGAAAACCCAAGAAAACCAAAAAACACAATCCACAGATAAAAGACTAAACACAAGCTAAACAAAAGGCTTTGAGGCCAGTCTTGAATTTCTCTGAATGTAAGCCCCAGTGAGCGGCCCAAGGAAGATTTCTCAGCATCATGTTCAAGTGCAAAACAACTTTTTTGGTTTTTTTTTTTTTTTTTTTTTTTTTTTTTTAAATCACTGAATTATCACAGTGCTGCAGAAGATACTAAAATGGAAATTTTGCTGTCCGGTGTCCAGAATGATGCATTACAGTGCTTCTAATTTTGAATTGCTCGATATGGGGCTCTTCAACTGTAATACCATATCTTGTATGTATAACCTGTAGGAGATCTGTAACTTCCCTCTCCTCTAGCAGACTCAGGGAAATATAGCACAGGTTATATGCACGTACGGGGAATATGAGGAGTAAACCCCCAAATCTTGCATCCCTCTAGCAGCACTTTTATTTCTGATCTTTGTAACCTACTTTTTCTAACCCAATCATCATTTCACCTCCACATTTGGGCAACTTTTCCAAGGAACAGAATACATGCATGAAAATTAAATACCTAAGAGACTATTACATTTAACAAGCTTCACCGGTAAAAAAAAAAAAAAAATAATACAAAAGCTGGAGCAGAGAAAGACACAATAAATCAAAACCATCGAAACTAAAAATCTGCAAAGCAGTCTGTGAGAAACCACTTCGATATATTAAAATTGTGTTAAACTCTAAGTGCATCTCCATCTCTCTATTCAAAAGGCAAACGTACAGAAAGATCCATCAAACATGCACAGTGTGAGGACAACATCCATAGTTTCAGTCTGCATCAACCCTTGTTGTTTGTTACCAACACGATATGATCCCATACAAACTTTCTGGACAGAAGTGTGACTTTGAAGCTGTCAGCTCTCCTCTTATTACAGCTTTAAATAAAACTTCATAACTCTAAATAAAACTCTGGAGATTGTCTCCGGAGCAACCAGGTTTGCTTGATGGTTGTCCCATAAAAGCAGTCTGGTTGCATAAGCCTTTCTATTACTCGACAGTCCCTCATTTTGCCTGTTTTTGTCGGCATCGCTCCCTCTCACGACAGCAGAGCAGAGCATACCAGCAGTCATGTAAGGAAGGCAGCAGCATATCCTGCTTTGACTGACGTACACTACAATCGGGTAGTTTTGCATGAAAGTTCTCTGAAAGGCTGTACACGCGAATTAACTCATCTGCATGGGTCCACAGACTGCGTATTAGCTGGGTTGTGCTTGATGTTACAGACCTGAATTGCAGACCAGCACCCTTCATCTTCCTAACTACTGGGTGTGAGCAGGCCTGGGTGGATCTGCTTCGCTCCTCCACAAATATGTTCCCATCCCACATCTGAATGAAGTTCAAACCTTTCAAAAAAAAAGTGTTTTCATCTTCCCTGAAAAGAAGCTGCAAAGCCCCACGGCTCAGACACCCACCTATGATGTTAGAAACACACTGTCGCCCTGCTGTAGCCCACATCAGAGAAAACAGAGCTAGCCACCCCGGTGCTGGCTACTGTGGGGTGCCTCCACTTCTCCTGCTGGTCTTGCTCCAGTCCGCATAAATACTGACACAGTCAGAGCAGAGACTGCCCGACTGCAGCTCCCACCTTGCAGGCAAACACCTCATCGCTGACCCATCCGGGATTTGGCATTCAACTGCTCTCTCTCAAATCCGCCCTCAACCTCAGACACTTTCCCAAATAAGCATTTACTGTTGAAACTAGTTTTTTACCAGGAAGAGGGATACTCTCAAACAAATGAAGATATTCAGGCCGGGGCAGGGAGGGAGAAAAAGAAAAACACCCCCTCACCAACAACACTGAGCGTTTGTCCTGTGAGGAAAACCAGCCAAGCACTTAGGATTTTCTCTCATTAGTAATCAGGGAAAGCATCTGCAGCTCCACACGGCCTTTTTATGCTTCAGCAAGAGAAGTCGGACAAGGCCATCAGCCTGTTGCACTGTCACAGATCACCCAGTAGGAGGTTTTACAGCTTCTTGCATTCACCAGGAATTTCCAGCCCTGGTATATTCCTCCTTCCAGCTCTTGGAACAGCACCAGCCATGCAAACCCACACTCCGACTTGGAAACTGGCACAGATGACTTGTAACATCCGACACGATAAAAACTGTTCCTTACTGAAGCTTTTAGTAATATCAAAACCAAAATGCAGACAGCGTAGGAAGGAGAGTAAGTGATACATCTGCCTGGACAGCTTCCTATATATGTGCTTAATGACTACAGATGCACAGCTTTGGGGTGTAAAGCTGCTGACCTTACATGAATTCCCCGTACAGGGAATTCAGTTTGGCTGGGCTAAAGCCTTCCTTTTCATACATCTACAGTCCAAATACACAGAAACCACTTGACTGGCTATATATATATATTGAACCCTGTAATTTCTTCTGCAATAGCCACAAAGTTTGCAAGGCCCTCATTTTTCTTAATTCTACAAGTCTGTTTTTAAGAGTTAACAGATGCCCTCGTGGTTTTCAGTTAGTTGTAGCCTCTGATCCCACAACCCAAGGGATTGCTCACAACCCCACAGCCACGCTACCCGGAGCGAGGAACTGCCTGCCCAAGCAGCCGGGGGGAGCGGAGGCCCCAGTCCCTCCTTTCACCCCCTTTCAGCACTCGCTAACTGACTGCTGTCGTCAACCACAGCACACAGGTGCATGAGGAACACTGTGGTTTCGCCAGGTGAAGTCTCCGGCGGCAACACCAGTTTAAGGTGCTTGCACCCTCCCCTGCAACTCATTTCCTCCCCCACACCGCAACACAGGGCTGCCTCTGCTTTGCCAGAACAATTAGGTGAGCAGCGGGGAATACCTCGAACAGCTCTTGTCAAAGGCTTCACCTCAGGAAACTCCAGCCTCAGCAGAAGCAGCAAGAGACTGCAGGTTAGGATGCCCGATTCAAACATCTTTCTCACTCAGGCACTACGTATTCATGCAAGTAGCCCGACGGAGTTTGAGCAGGAATCAGGACTTGTGTAAAGAAGGGCCACAGAACTGCACCCGAGCTTTCCGTCTCTGTTCTTCACTTTGTGGGGGTTTCTCCCCTGCCTGTCGTCTTTTTCCTGTTTGGAAGCTTTGACGAGGCAGAGAGAAAGGGAAAAAAAAAAAAGCCAGAGACTGGTGTAGGATCTCCAGATGCTGAAAAAGCCTGGACAAACAGACACAAGGCACATGCCAGCTGACTCTGCAGACAGACCCCAGCACCTCCAACATTCATTAACCCTGACACCAACGCACCACAAGCTGGATGCCTCTGGAGTGCACGGGACTCACTGGCCACACATACAGCATCTGTACAGCAGCTACAACATGTTCTGAGGCTGTTGTCTCTCTGCCCATGGACCATAAATACGTACCTATTTTTCCATCTGTGGCTTTTAGACCCCAAGAACCCTTATTCAGACAGTTTGCTATAAAATAAAAATAAGTCACCAATAAAGCAACCAGTCACCTGGAACCAGTTGCACTTTCTTCCACTTGTTCAGTCCTGCAACAGAGCTGAGCTCTGGGCTGGGAAATCTCTCCGTGAGGTCATGGTGAAAGGCTGTTCTCATGCCTCTTCCTTTGCCCTGGTCCCTGTCTGACTGCTAATGGAAAACATGCGCAAACTCCTCCCAGGAAAACTTTCCTCTTTGTCTTGTTACCCGTACTGTGCTTGGACAATCAGCTATCATTTCAAGTGATTTAAATGCTATAAACACCTATGGTTATAGGGCTTGAGGTAAACTGGAGCCCCACGGGCTCCTTTTTTACCACAAACCGTGTTGCCAAATACCACAAACCTCTAAGATTTCTTCACCCTGCACACAAGGGAGCCCACACACTGGGTGACAGGAGAGACAGCACAGGCACACCGCCTAACCCAGGGTGGCAGGATATTTGCTTTTAGCAGGGTTCTGCTGTGCGCACAACCCCCGTAGTCAGCGACCTCGTTTTAAGAGAGGAGGAGGCAATTCCTTTGACATCTTCTCTGCCCCTTTCCTGACCAAAAGCCCCCTTAAGACAGGATGAAAAGGATTTCCCCACAGTTTGAGACCATGCATACATAGCAACTTTACGCATAGCAACACGTCTCTGGAAAAACACGGCACAAACAGCACCGGAGGCCTGCAGCATCCTTCCCGCTCTGGGACGCTGGTGCTGCAGCAGCTGCAGGAGGCTGAGAGAGCAGGCCAGCAGCTGCGTACCCGGCACGCTGGCTTATGGCGTGGGAGAGGGGCCCAGAGCCGCAAACGAGCAGGAAACGAGCTCAGCAGAGGAGGAGAACAAACTGGGAGCCAATTCCTGATGTCAACACACAAGCCTTGGTAGGCCTGTCCTATTACTGCCATGTGAGCCACCAAATCTGCAACTAACGATATTTTGACAACCGCAGATAATGCGCTGCATGCTTCTACCAAACGAAGCGGGACAGGAATCGCAGTTTGTGCTCCATGGCTCGTAAGGAAATCACAATGCAGTCCTGACGGTTGGTGTCCACGATGAGCATGTTGTCTCAACAATCCTCTAGTGCCTCCCAAGGAAGAGTAAGTTCATGCCTAAGTCAAGTATGCCTCATACGCCATCTCTCAATGATGACACATAGAAGTCTGTTTTTCTGGAGACATGTTGCTATGTACAAGTCACTATGTATACACGATCTCAAACTGTGGGCAAACTCTACTTCTCCAATCTGAAGGACTCCACTTCAGGCTTGTGGTCAGGAGAGGAACAAAGAATGTCCAAGAGATCTCCTACCTTCTCAAAATCAGTTCAATATGTATAGGAGGCTGAGCAAGAGCAGAAGCCAAGGCATACTTTCTGAAGATGTGTGCAAGACGGAATGGTGATACTCCTAAATGCTGTGTATGCTGTGTGTTTTAGTACATACATGAAGATTAAAGTATTGCATTGAGCCCTCCTCACCTAATCCTCTCTCCATCCCCTGTGGGAAGACTGCAAAGTAGGTATCTTACTGTGTTCTGCTAACCCACACTGCAAGAAAGATTTAAGGCTTATAGACTCAGATCTTGAGCCCATCCTTATCTCTTTGCACAAGCCCATGAGCAGCAGTTAGGGATTTCAAATCTTCAGGGAAGACACAGAAGACTGCTACTCTGCCCCCTCTTCTGACCAGACTGTATGGCTTCATATATGGAGATATATATGCTCCTTTTCCCCAGTTACAGTATTCGTTAACACTGCAGTGCTCAATCTTTTTCACCTTGTACCCTCATTCCTCCTTCTTTCCCTCAGATATGTTGTAGCCCATGTGCACACACACACAACTGAGGATGCAGATGGAGCAATAGCAGGAAGGTCCCAGCCGCAAGAGGAGGTATACAAAAATCACAGACTAATGGCCAATGGAAGAGATTCTCAGGCAGTCGTTTGGCTCATTCAAAGAAGGACCAAGTCCAAAGTCAGATCAGGCTGCTGATCTGTCATGTCACCATGTCAAGGTGACTTCTGGATATCCCTGAGGACTAATACTCCACAGAATCATGCAGGAACTGAAGCTACCCAGCTGGGACGTGGACTAGGGCTGAAAGGTGGCAACTCAGCCCAATGATACCTGCTGTTTCGCTCCTTTGCACTGCTTCCCACTTCCTCCCTCTGCTGAACTGGGCTCTTCTCAATACCACTTCAGCTGGCATCTTTCCCTGCTTCACGGCCACGATGTCTCTCTCCTCCCCAGCAGCTGCCCTGGTAGCATCCCTCCTCCCCGCAGACACACGTTCCCTGAACCTCGCTGCCTGGGAACTATGGCATTAGCCATCTTAGACTGGACTCTGAAGAGGCCAGAACAGCTCCCACTTACAGCAGCTTCTTCTCTGACAGAGAATAGAATAAAAGGTTGTTAGAAGGACAAAGGAATACTCAGTGGTATGTGAAGACAGGAAATTCAAAAAAACAGCATATGGGAAAGCTTGTTTCACACAACTTTTTGTCAATAACTCTGCAGAAATAACACCACAGGAATCCCTTAAGTCCAAAGACTTGATAAGATCCAGAGAAGGGCAGATAATTACAGGCAATCAGGGATATCAGATCTCCAATTACTAGAGACCAGGACTGTCACTTTTCTGTTCTCTGCCGGTTATTTATGCTGTCTTCTGCAGCATCTGCTTCTTATCACTAGGGACAGGATCCCAGAGCTAGCTACAGCACCAGCCTGACTTAGTCTGGCAGCTCTGGCAACTCCTCTTTGATGCCTCTTTCCTAATTCTATGACACCTCTCTCTTGGGGCAGACACACTTGCCCCTTCCCCTTATGGGGAAATTCATCCATCTCATATGACAAGAGTCCCCATAGCCTCTAAAGCCTTTACAAAGGGTTTACTATTTATACAATATCACTGACAAGATCCATCTTGGTGGCATTACTCAGGGAGCAGCCAAAAGGATACGATGGAGTTGAATAGAGGGGTGCAGGGAGGTGGATTTTTGAAATTTGTTACATGTTGTGCTGCCCTTCTTAAACTTGATGTTGAGGAACAAAATAGGGACAGGTTTTTTAAAGAGGTATCAGTACACAAAGTGCATGTAAGTCACTCCATACTTTCAGAAGTCCCACTAGGTAGCAACGAGCATATTGAAGATACCGAGGGAAATCTGTCAGATGCAGAAATATAGCGAGCTTTCAAAACCCTGCCCGCACCGTGCGCACCTAGCTCTAACAAAGGCCATTTCTTCTTTTGCAGTTCATATGCAGCAGACGTAAAAATACAGACAGAGCAAAGTCCTATCCAAACAACCGTCCAACTGAAATCCCCCAGAGCAGGGGTTGTGACCGTGACCACCTGGGGACCCTGGCACACCCGAATACCCGTGCAAAGCACAGGAGGCAAGTTAAAAGCTGAAAAGTCCAGACCCTCCAGCGGATGGGTTTTCCACACATGTATTAGTTATAGGATCTCCCACGATCTCTGGAGGGGAGACGGCACCTCCTGGTGACAGAACTCAGCAGACAGGCTTTCCCCGCAGAGCTCCCTGTCTTAATGCCTGATGAGCCACAAGAAACGAAAAGATGTCAAAGAAGCACAAGATAAAAGCGAACAAAGCAGTCAAAGCCTGATGAAAAATGCAAGCTCCTACAGCCATTTTTAGCACTGGTTTCTTATCAGGTGACAACTGTCATGAAAAAACAACCACATTTCCATTCCTTTCCACCAAAAGCCTCCCAGACAGATTGCCTCCGTCCGCCACAAAAAGGCAACTTGTGCCTAGCTTTATAATGACACAGCCAGCTTCATTTATCTCCATCATTACCGATGAACCATGAAATTCAGCTAATAAAAAACAAACCCAGAAGCCCCAAACTTAATTTTGGTTATACAGCGCTGCTAGAGCCTGATAACCAAGAGCTGCATCCTTTGTCTGCCAGACAGAAGCTCTGAGCAAGCTCCACTAATGAACTGTTGACAATGTCAACAATGAAAAGAGCACAATAGATGCAGTGTATTTATCTGTATTGTCACAGCACCGAACCAGCTGCTGTCTGTGGAAACCACTATGCTGTTTCTGTAGAGCTCCCTCTTCTCATAAATCACACTCCCAGATGGTCTTGTAAACAACAACAATACTATAATGCAGCATATAGAAAACCGTAAGTTATGGCTGTGACATTTGCAAGCAAACATAGTGTTCCTGGGCCGGCTCTTCAGGAACTGCCTTCTGCTTTGTGCAAGTCCTTCCAACGGCAGTGCTGGAGGAGCTTCCCATGTGCTTCCTGGTGCACAGCCACTCAGACACAGAAAACAGCCCATCATCTGCTTCCCCCACGAGGCAACCAGGCCGGAGGGCAGGCACAAGCCTCAGAGCTAGAGCTCAGCGGTAGTCGTCTGGGAGGGACTGCTCAGGGTCTGCTGCAGGTGAAGTGACTATCTCTACGCTATGAGGCAAGCTACAGATGGAAAGTTTCTATAGGAAATCTCCACCACTACTGGAGAACTTCTATGCACGGACAGAGGTTGAGTGCCAGCAAGGCAGAAGGGAACGGAAAAGTTCTGGAGAGCCACAGATAACCATGGATGGCAGCAAGCTGGTGAGGGAAACCTGGAGGGAAAGAAAGGGAACAGAAAGCAGCTCAGGGAAAGCAACTTGGAGAAGCAGAGAGAAAATAACAGAAAGGAGAGCAAGGGGAAAAAAGGCCACGACAGAGCAGAATGAGTCAGAGGAGGCATGGAAAGAAGGACGGGGGAGGAAAATGAGCACTTTGGGAAGAGAGGGCCCATCTAATTTAAAAGAAAAAAAAAAATCTGTAAGACTGAAGAGAGTTTCTGACTTGACGGCTCAGGGCATCAGAGCAGGACCAGGCGCTACACATAGGCACAATATGAACAGTGACATTGGAAGAGCATCTGAGCCTTTGTTCTGATGACAAAGGCAACAAAACAGTGGCAGAAGAGGATTGCCAGAAACCACCCTGCCACACCAAGGGCAAAACAAATCCCAACTTTGGAAGGCTGCTAACGCGCTCTTCTGGCTTCCCGGTCCAGCACTTAAGGGGCTGATCCTGCCCACACTGAAGTCTGAGGCAGGTGTCTGACTGCACGGAAGCTGGATCAAGTTCTAGGATAAATCTTAGATGAGAACCCCTCACAAGTAATATTTAGAGAAAATAGGAGGGGAAAAAAGAGTACTTTCCCAGGTTTGTACTTCACTTCCGGTGTCTGTTGGGTCTGTTGCAACTATTTCTAAATCATCAGTTTTAAGTCAGCTTCTAAGTCCAGAGTGCTGCCTTTCTCATGAAGACTGATTTAAATACAAAAGTTGTTTATTTTGCATATAGAAACAGACAGTTTAGTAACATTAGGCTGTATTCTAGCTCTGCTAAGAGCGAACTTCTGTGATCCTCTTTTGTGTATTTGCCTAGAGCAAGGGATGGGCATATTTCAGACACAAATAAAATACTAGCAAGTTACTGATAACATCACAGTGAATCATATTTAATCACCCTGCAGGTATGCACATATCTAACCTTGTTTACCAGCTTACTAGTAAGATGCCTTGTGTCGTTGAACGTCCTTGGCCCTTAGCATCATAGTACGCTCCAGATGCAGAGAGTGCACTTTGCCACGTGTTCTTATTAGTTATCAAAGACAAGACCAGATTGTGTGAATGCCATGCTTCCCCCCAGGACCTCCCCTCTTCTCATATCAAAGAAAGGGTAAGATGAACAGCCACTGCAGAAGACTACACCTCCCATCCTCTCCTCTGTAATCTCAAAGCACTCAGCAGCTCTGAGAAGTATGGCGAGGGAGAGCGTTGTGGAAGTCAGTCCAAGGGGACAAGGAGTGGAGAAGGGAAAGGAGAGGATGGTTTGCTGTTGCTGAGCAAGAAAAGGAGCACACTCCTGCTCAGTATGAGCTGTTTGCTGAAACCAGCAATAATGGTAACAACCAACTCTTTCTAATACTGCTGACGTTTTAAAAAAAAGATATGTTCTTTTAAAAAGTTAATAACATCAAATAGCTGAAGCTTTCACTCCGCAGCCATATCCCTTAA